AAAAAAAAAAAAAAAAACATAAAATAAATAAACGGCATAACCCCCGCAAGCCCCACGCAGAACCCGCAAAGGAGAATCTTTATCTTTGAGCATGACCAGGCTTGCCAGCCCGTTGTTTGACAAAGGGGCCAAGTAGCAATGTAGTAGGCTCTTGATGGATATATGTATGGTATGGGGGGCCTCAAAAATGCATACTACCTTTCGGGTTACTTGTGAGACCCAACAGATACTCGCGCTGCAGCCAGCTATCAAAGGAGAGCTCTACATGCTTGCGAATTGGAACAAAGCCTTCGTCTTTTTGTGGCTGCCGCTCGTAACCCACTGAGCAAGCTCAAATGTAATCTCCTTCGCCTGGGTCAGAAAGAGGAGAAGCCCCGCAAAAGTCACTATCCAGGATAGGCCGACCTCCCACCTGCTAGGCTGAGGACTGATATTGCCTCTCAAGATGATAGATGCAGGGATGACATAAACCATTAGCGATCCGAACAACGCCCCCTTGACTGCCAGTATGTCTGTGAGGGGCAGGAACCATCCCAATGAAGCAATGATTAACAGCAGAAGCTCGAACTGATCGGTAAGTTGCCGATTCAGACAGCGGCGGCAAAGACTTCCAGAAAGCTGGCGCATGCCAATAATCACCTTTGGAAAGTCGGCCCAGAGAATGAGTAGGTAGAACCCGTGAGTAAGGGGTGCCTTCCATGATCCGGACAGATTGTTGAGCAGGTCCTGCTGAGTGTCTGAGCCGTACATCTGGTAACCCATTGTGCCACACCAAAGATACGCGAACGATACGACAATGTAGGACACGCATACGGCACGGCGGAAGTTCTGCAGCTGATTGCCGGGACCCAGCTCGCCATAGTACTTCGGCGCATTATAGTGCGCCGTGAGCGATACTAGCAAGATGGACCAGACCTTTAAATAAGCTTGGAAAGTGCTTTGTTCCGTGGAAGCCGGAACAGGAGGATGTGCGGCAGGCCTTGTTACGAGATTGGTGGCGCTCTCCTGCAGTTGCCTGTTCGGATCGTGGTTCGGTTCAAGGGCTAGGAGGACGGACAGGATGCCCACGAGCACCGCCAGCATGGACAGTATGCCGAGAGGCATCAGGTGCCTTACATGCCCACTTCATAGGCCACAGCAAAGCTTGAAGTCGCATGCTACGAAATGGCGTGTGTAGACCCCCAAAACCTAGAATCTAGAACTAATTTGGTTCCCAAGGCACAGTTGGCACGACAAGGGCAGGTACAAGAAGATAACTGCAAGCAATCCCCAGCGCCAGCTCGAGCGGAAATCTGCTGGATTTCCTTTTGATTCGGCGGGGTTGTGTGGGTCTGGCAGTGCGAACCAGAGCACGAAGACAAGTGCCACCAGAATCCAGAAGAATACCCCACGTAGCCCAAGCTCGGCACGGAAGAGTGGCTTTTTATAACGATAAATGGCAAGCAGGATGAGCGCTGCTGCCATTGCCACGTATATCCCGCATTCCTCTACCCAGTCCATCATCCGGTGAGGTAGCAATGATTGAGCCTGAGTCTTGAAGCGGCAAGCTATCCCATCTTCCCCGAGCAAGCTGTCGTGGGTTAACTTGACGTAGGACATGCACGTGAACATAGGGTATAACAGATAGACCACACCAGCAATCACATCCCATGGCTGTCCAAGCGTTTGACGCATAACCGCCAAGTACGTGGTATCCCCTTGTTGCGGGCCGACATTGCGGACATGCTCACATGCACGGCCATGTAGCCAAAACGAGACACCATGCAAAAGGCCGACCAGCACAAGCAAAATGAGGAACACCACCGCAGGGTGGTCAGTGGCGGTCCCTTCTTTCAGCTCTTTCAAGCACCATGGAAGAGCTAGGAAGCCAGCACCCACGATGTTGTTCACAAGGTTGCAGATAGTCCAGAAGATGGGATATCGTAACGGCGCCTGTTGCTGAGGCTGGACCAGCAAAGCCTGCTGCATGACATCCAAAGCGCGACAGAGCGGCGGACAGCATAAGCCTAACAAAGAATTAACTGTAGAGCTCACATAGGGCTGCAAGTATGCAGAAACAAATGGCGAGTTAGGGTTTAGGGTTTAGGGTTTAGGGCTGAGACGTCTAGTCTGGGTTAAAAACCCAAGCTCCTCACATCAATGTAGTGACTTCCATCTCCCCCCAACGGAGAGAAGACATACGACCAAACCAGCCAAAGTTACATGAACTCCGGAAATCAGCGGAACCTCGCCAAACTGCGATGCTAACGTTCGTGCTGTACGACGGCCTTAATGTAAGAGTCCACAGCCTAGTTTAGAGGACTTCCCGGATAAAAGAAGAAGCGCCGCAGCGTTCCTTTCTGAGTTGTTAAGCCCTTGGCATCAAAATAGCCCAAAAGCCTTATATAACAGGGTCTTTGGGCCCAAGGAGCCTTAAAAGATGACTCCTTTGAGAACCCTAAACCCTAAACCCTGAACCCTAAACCCCTAAACCAAAGGGTAAGGGTTCCGGTGTGCTGGAATCCCAAGCGCCAACGAGGACGGGACCGGGTGCCGGGTAGAGTGCAGTCAAACTTAGGGCTTAAGGGCTTGAGGGTTTAGGGCTTAAGGGTTTAGGGGTTTAGGGTTTAAGGGTTTAGGGGTTCTAGGATTTACGGTTTAGGGTTTGCACTAATGGTTTTATGGTTTAGGGTCTAGGGGTTTAGGGTTCAGGGTTTAGGGGTGGATCTAAAGGGCGCCAATCCTTGAAGCCGAGGGTCGCCGAGGTTATGGCCCTTTCTTAGCGGAATCCAGGGTTTGGGATTTGGGGGGTTAGGGTTTAGGGTTTAGGGTTTGGGATTTAAGGGGTTAGGGTTTTTTTTTTTGAGCGCCTCTTTTCCAACTCGCAGAGCCATGGGTTTAGGGTTTTTAGGGTTTAGGGTTTAGGGTTAGGGGTCTACCTATAGTCT